GGCGCCAGCGACGGCGACGACTGGGCCTCGACTGCCCACCAAACCACCCCAACCTGATCCGAAGACCCACACTCCGGGTTAGGGCGGCACGGGTTCCACACACGTGTTTTTTGCTCAACATGCTCCGACGCCCCCCCCCACTGGGAAAGGAGGGCAAGCTGGGGCCTTCGGGTTGGGCTGGGGTGGTTTGGTGGGCAGTAAGATTTGTCGGCGGTGGACACCCCCCCTTTGGTAAACCAACCTTTGGAGAAAACGGCCCAGGACCAAAACCGACGGACCTGGACACGCAGAAAATGACGGCCGCGACGCCCTCTCGCGAACCGAACACGGCCAATTCCCTAAGCGACCCGTCATGGTAGGAGGTCCATCAACCTCCGATCTCTGGGGTCCAAGCCGAGATAGTACAACGGACGCGGACGGGGTGCGCGGCGTGTCGAAGCGCCGGCGCAGCCGCGCCAAGAGCAGCCTGCTACTGCCCCTGTCCGGTCGGCGTGCGGGCATCTCGGCGAACGTGGCGACCAGCCTGCTGCGGATGTCCTTAGACTTGGGTCGGGCATGCCCCCCCACAGGCGAAGTTTGGGCGAAAAATTAAATAAGGTCCAAAAAAGCTCAAAACATTGTCGAAAAATCGTCCCCAGGCTATTTTAGAAGATCCCTCCTGCAGAGGGGCGTGCCCGAGTTAAACTGAAACCACGTCCCAACCTCACGACGAGTCTCGGAGAAGCCCGAAGGGACCTGTGCTTCAGGGGAAAGTTTCTCAGCAAGCTTCTCGACGAACTCGCCAAATTTGAAGAGAGCCTGCATCTCAGCCGACACACAGCAAAGTCGTGATCAGAAACGTGACTCTCAACCTTCACCATGTCGATGTCTCTCCCAACAGAGCTTGCGCACCAGGTTCCACAGGTCTCTGCTGGTCCTTGGACACCATCTGGCCCTGGCTCGCACTCTGACAAAGATTCTCTCGATATCCGTCGCGTGAGTCAAACTCATGCGTTCAGTGGCTAAGATGGCCTCCTTGAAAGCAAAAAGCTCTGCACGATTGATGCATGGGCGGGACCTGAGGGGGGGCTGCCCCGAAACCTCCAGACTTGACTCCAGAAGCCCCCGGGCCCCCTGGGTGACCCCCCCCCTAGTCCACCGCAACTACAGCCCAGGTGGATCTCGCGAGCATCACCTGTCCTGAGAAGGGTCCCCCCAAGGCGTCACCAGCCAGCCGAATCCGATCCTCTTCCCGAAGACCACCGAGGAGAGGGCGGGAGGACACACCGAGAGGGCAGAGAAGGGAAACTTACAGGGTCGGATCAAGCTGGATTTCCAAATCATCTGGCGGCTCCGGGATTGGAATCCACTCCCTGGGAATGAGACCTCCGAGCTAGCAACAGGAGTGTGCTGAGAATGGGAGAGGAAAGGGGGGAAGGGGAGGAGTTACGAGTTACGAGTTACGAGTGCGCAGCGCGGTCGGGAGGCGCCCGCGCTGCGGCCGAACGGCGGCCCCGCTAAGGCAGCAGGGGCCGCACCTCAGGCGAGAGTCGCCGAGGCTCACACCGGTGTTCTTCGGCAGGGCGTCACCGAAGTCGAAGGAGTGAAAAGTTGGCGGCGAGGCACTGGGCCTACGCTCGCTGCCCAGCCATACCCTGCATCTCGTAGATGTGGTCGGTAAAATCTGCGGCAAATAAAGCAAAATACCGTGCACCGCGTAAATGGAGACGGTAAATCGCCTGCGAAAAGTGCGCGGCGAGGCACTGGGCCTGCGCTCGCGAACCAGACCATAAGAAACCAAAATGCCGCGCGCGGCTTCGCGTAGGCGTGGTCGGTGAAGTCTGCAGCTACCAACGCACTAGCTACATCAAGAGGAACATCAGACGAGCACGGCCATCAGAATGATGAGGAGGGACTGCATGCCATCAATTAGTAGCTCACCACATAGGTACTGGAACACAGAGCCCCACCGCTGCTAGCAGTCTGCATCACGCCTCTTGGACACGATCGCGTGCCAATTCTTCGCCCTGTCCGTCATGTCCACGCTGCCGCGGAGGGAGGCCTCGCCGCGCCCGCTCAATGGCACTGCGCCGGTTGCGGAGTGTCGAGGGATTGGCAGCTGGGACAAGACATGGGCGGCTTTCGGGCATCCCCAGGTCGAGCGGTGTCGCACGTGCCTGCGCAGCGCTCGCAGCAGCACATGCCGCCCACCTCGAAGACCAGGTGCCCGATGCGCTCGAACTCGGTGCCGAGGGTGTCCGCTCTAGCGTCGATGATCTGGTCATCGATCGCGTCGATGGCGTCGATGGACTGGCCATCGATCACCATATGCTCTGCCTGGGGGGCCGCGCTCGAGGCAGGCGGACCGTCGACATGGTCACCAGGCCGATCAGCCTCTCCATGGTCCCCAGCCGCTGCAGGGGCGGCACCAGCCAGGGCATTGGTAACCCAAGCGTCCGCCACAGGTCGCCGCGCGGGTGCAGCCTGGGCGAAGCAAGCCTCCGTCAAAGCCTTCACCACCACCGTTGGTCGGCACCTGCGGAGCGCGCCCGATCTAAGGGTGGCCAGAGAGGAAGCGGCGCCGGCTGTAGCGTTGCATCGACGGCACCGATATTGGCCACTGGCCAAGCATCGCCAAATCACGTGGTCATCCTCGCGCTCGAAGGCCACGGGCGCCATCCTATGGCTCGCCAGCTTGATCGGGTCGTCGCCCCTGCCGTACATCTTGAGAGCAGCAACTCGAAGGCAAGCCTGCGCGATGAACTGCAGCACCGGCCTGTGCTGCTTCAGAGCAGCCTTGAGCGACTCCGCAAAAGTCTTGGCCATCGCGTGCGATGCAGCGCCTAGCCTCGCGAAGTAATCCGCCCAGGCATTACCCAGCCAGTCTTGTAGCTCAGTCGCCCCAAGCTCCACAAGCGTGCTGGCGTCACGGTGGGCAGGGGTCCAGCGGAACTTAGGGGCGTCTCCTGGAGATCGCTCCCTAGCCGCCAGGAAATGTCGCGCCAGACTCGCGCGTGCTTCGATCTGGCGCACTGATGGTCCTGGCTCCATCTGGCGCCTTCGCCCACCAGGCCTTCACGGTCCGTCGCAATCTCACGATGGTGCGGAAAGGCGTCCAGCGCAAACTTGACCGCATTGCGCTCCGCCCTGCCCACGGTCTGGACCAGGTACGGAAGGGGCCGTATATGGCCCGCACTGGCAGCCGAGTGATCGAATCCAGCTGGACCACTGCCTGCCCGCATCGTCGTATGTCGGGGAGGCTTGACTCATATCCAGATCCGTCTGTGTAGGATGTGGGTCCTCACGCGCCACCAGTGTCGCCCCAGTGGTAGACCTCCTGGGCATTGGAGTTGGAGGTAGGGAGCCCCAGGGGCGCCTCGGGTGCGCCATAGACCAGGTAGGTCTGGTCGAAGTTGGTGGTGCCAGCACCTAAGCCTTCAGCCCTAAGCTGGTCGCGCACCTCTAATAAGTGCGACGGTATGTCCATGAAGCTGGCCTTCTTTCTGCCTCTGGCGCTGATGGTCTGGCCATCAGTCGCCCGTGCTGAACGTCGACCGTCGTCTCCAGGGCCCACATTTGGCGTCCAAAGGTCAGGAGGCGCTCCAGCTTCTGGGTCGTCTGGGGCCTGCTCGTCCACCTCGCCACCAATGGCAGGGAAGAAATCCTCGTCCTGTTCGGTGGTCATCAGCTGCGGATGCTGTGGCCCTGGCGGCGCCAGGTCAGGAACGGGGTCAGCTGGCACAGTCTGGTCAGCCGCCTCCCCCTGCATCTGATCCTGCTCTTGGCAAGGCAGGTCATTAGTCTCGACGGGCGCTTCACTGGGAAGCGCTCCGTCATGCGCACCTGGCGGCCCTGCTTATTCAGCGTCGAAGTAGTAGCCCAGGGCAGTCGAAGAACACCTGTCCCCAGCAGGTATGCTGGTCAAGCTCCCTGCCGCAAGCCTGGCATGGGCGCGTTGACCGAAGGAGCTGGATGTCGCGCCTGATGGGGATGAGCAGGCTATCCGCCCAATGGGCTTGGAGAGCACCGAGACGCCGTGGATGGCGTACTCCGCGGGTCGCACACCGCAGCCCCCTGTGCCAAATCTGCTCACCAGCATGGGTGTGTACCAGTGCCGTGATGGGTGCTGACGTTGCCATCTCTGGAGCCCTTGTGGCAGAGAAGGCCGTAGATCCGCAGGGCAAACCTGCATAAGATCGTAGTGCCCTCCAAGGTCATCCCGTACAACATGTGGTGCCACTAACTCCCACCCAATCCGACGTCGGGTGAGAATGGTGGCCCCTGAAGGCCCGCGCACGGTGTTCCACTGGGATCCACTCGTGCCGCCGGAGGTGAGAATCTCCCACGCCTGGCGTAGTCGGCTCGGCGATGTACGTCCGTCCCGAATCCACCAGCATAACGCAGGACCAGATCAGTGGTCGCCCCATATATCGGGTCGTAAGTGTCCGACCTGTGCGTGGCCAAATATCTAGTCACCCCAGCGTGCTGGTTCCCAGGGGGCCCATTCAGTACCGCCGCAAGCTGGCGAAACTCTCGGAGTGTACCGTCGGGCACCCCCGATACGCCAGCGCCATGGCCTACAGCAGGCATGGCGCCAGTGCTCCAAAGCGTGGCCGTCCTCCTGCCCGTAGCACGGCGTAGCATGTGGAAGCGATATCGACGCGCGCGAAACCACTTGACTCGCTTCTTCTCCACTGTGCGCAGTACCTGGGGAACAGTGAGCTCGTGGCCCAGATTGCGCATGTGGGTTGCACGGGGAAGCCGTCCAATGGCAACGCCTTCTCCTCTGGGGATCAGTGCGCGCCTTCGCCCCGCTGCCAGGATTTTGTCCAGGGCTAGGCGGGTGTGGGTGGATCCCACCACCGTCGCAGACTTGGAAGTCTGTAGCACCAGCCCAAGCTCAAGCGCCCAGCGGGCAAAGGACTCCGCGGCTCGGCCTGGCGTAAGCAAGTCTCGGGCCTCGGCGCTGACCATCTGGATCCCGACGTCGTCCACGAGAGCACGAGGGCGCAAGCTGGGAGAGATGGTGGCCGTCCTCCGCACCGCCCTGTACATCAGCATGTAGAGCAAGTAGGTGGCGTGGGTGCACCCCGCCAGGATGCCCTGTAGCGCCTCGTACGCCTCGTAGGGAGGAGGAGGAGGAGGAGGAGGAGGAGGAGGAGGAGGAGGAGGAGGAGGAGGAGGAGGAGGAGGAGGAGGAGGAGGAGGAGGAGGCAAGGGCGCGGCACGGGGAGGTGCAGGAATCGCCCCAGTTGTCCGTCGACCAGTGCCATTTCCGTCGAAATCGGTGCTCAATGCGGGGATGGTGCAGCACAGGAAGAGGAGGAGGCGAAGAAGAAGAAGAAACACTAAATCAGGAATAAGAAGCATCAAACGAACACAGAACACAAGAACGTCAAAACGACGAACCATAATAACGCGAAGAAGCAACAGCATGCCAATAATGATAACTGATAGTGCACCTGACGGGAAGAAACATGACGCGAGTCATGGGAAGAAGAGAAGGAGAGGAAGGAGACGAACGGCAGCTCCTCCTCCTCCTCCTCCTCCTCCTCCTCCTCCTCCTCCTCCTGCTCCTACCCCTCCTCGTGCTGACCACCAACACCGATCCTGGCCGAGCGCACCCCTTGGGGCCCAGGGCCGACGCGCGCCCTCCTGGCCAGGCCGAGGGCGAGGCGCACACCCCGCTGGCGAAGCCCAGACGACTGGCCAGGCCAGAGCCCCGCTGCAGCAGTACGGAGGAGGAGGAGGAGGAGGAGGAGGAAAAGGAGGAGGAAAAGGAGGAGGGGGAGGGGGAGGAGGAGGAGGAGGAGGAGGAGGAGGAGGAGGAGAGGAGGAGGAGGAGGAGGAGGAGGAGGAGGCGGAGGAGGAAGGAGGCGAGGAGGAGGGGAGGAGGAGGAGGAGGAGGAGGAGGAGGAGGAGGGAGGAGGAGGGGAGGAGAGGAGGAGGAGGAGGAGGGGGAGGAGGAGAGGAGGAGGAGGGAGGGGGAGGAGGAGGAGAGGAGGAGGAGGAGGAGAGAGGAGGAGGAGGAGGAGGAGGAGGAGGAGGAGGAGGAGGAGGAGGAGGAGGAGGAGGAGGAGGAGGAGGAGGAGGAGGAGGAGGAGGAGGAGGAGGGGGAGGGGAGGAGGAGGGAGGGGAGGGAGGGAGGGCGGGAGGGAGGGACGGGAGGGAGGGAGGGAGGGAGGAGGGAGGAGGGAGGGAGGGAGGGAGGGAGGGAGGGAGGAGGAGGAGGAGGAGGAGGAGGAGGAGGAGGAGGAGGAGGAGGAGGAGGAGGAGGAGGAGGAGGAGGAGGAGGAGGAAGGAGGGGAGGAGGCGGAGGAGGAGGAGGAGGAGGAGGAGGAGGAGGAGGAGGAGGAGGAGGAGGAGGAGGAGGAGGAGGAGGAGGAGGATAAGGAGAAAAGGAAGAGGAGGAGGGCTGGCCCAGCCGGCGCACGGCGAGCAGCACCCGCCCGCCCCACTTGCTCATGAGCGGCAACGACAGGGGGGGATGGGCGTAGGGTGGGGGGAACGTCGACCTGGAGACAGCAGTACCTCGCCGATGGAGCAGCGATAGGCCCTCGATAGTGCTTCCGCACGTTCCTGGGCAGGTTGGGGCTAGCAGGCCCCTTTCGGCGATCGATGGGCGAGTGGGGAGCGGTGCATACCCCCGACTCCGAGTTTCTTAGTAAGCGTCGGGGGGCGTCACCCCCGCCGACAGCCCCACATCGACCCCGGTCGCGGGCAGCCACCGCGCGCCGAAGGCGCTCCGACCCCCGTCGCGGCGCGACGACGAGGCGAGGTTGCCCCCCGTCGGAGGGGTACCCCCCCACGCACATCTGTCAAGAAACCCGAGAGTACGCCTGTCCCCCCTACCGTTGCCCCTGGGCTCGCTGGTCCTGGCGCCGCCGAAAAACGACTTGAAGAGGGTGCCCGGGCCGCCGCCCTGCAGCGGGGGAGGGCCGCGCCGAGGGCCAGCGCCCTGGAAGGCGAGGGGCGCGGCGAGGCGGAGGGGCCCATGGCGGAAGGCCGGCTCGGGGCGCCGACCACGACGCTCGCAGTGTGCCCGCTGGGCCTCCCACGAGTCCCCATTGTCAGGCGAAGGAGGAGGAGGAGGAGGAGGAGGAGGAGGAGGAGGAGGAGGAGGAGGAGGAGGAGGAGGAGGAGAGGAGGAGGAGGAGGAGGAGGAGGAGGAGGAGGGGGAGGAGAAAGCGGAGGAGGAGGAGGAGGAGGAGCGAGCGTCCCTGAGCGAAGGTCTATCCTCACGCCCCAGGGCCGCGCGGCCGCGCCTCAGGCCTCACAGGCTCGGCGTCGGCGGTCAGGGTGGCGTCGGAGTCCTTCTCGACGGAGGCGCCGTAGAAGGCATCGTCGCGGTCGTCATCGATGAGGGAGACAGATAGCGCGGCAAGCAGCCCGTCAGCGAGGTCATCATGTGCGGGAATCGCAGGAGCTCCCGTATCATCGCCAAGCTGGTCGGCAAGATCGTCTTCCGTTTGGAGTGCAGCAGCGAAGTCCAGGTACACCGGGTCGGGCGCATCGGAGCCCATGGGTTCTAGGGCAACTGCTTCAGACACGTCAGGGAGACCAGCGTGGTCATCATCCCCAGCGACCAGAAAGACATCAGGCTCCTGGAGGCGGGACAGCGCCTCCTGCATCTCGTCATGGTACAAGTCTTGGGCCTCAAGGAAAGCCATCGCCGCCAGCATCTGAGAACCCGAAAGCGGAAAACGGGATGAGGGAGATGTAGATGTGGAAGGCGCCGACGACGCGGAAAACGAGGCAGCAGAGAGCAAGGCCGAAGAAGGAGAAGAGGTGCGCCGCATGAGTTCATGCAGCACTAGCTTCACCGCGTAGCGCGTGGAGTCTGTCATCTCCTCAGTGGGCACATGCTCAGCAGCATCGAGCGAAGGACCCTCAGCTGGGTCATTGTCAGCGCCCATGTATCTCAACTCGCCAGAAGACCCTTGTTGTCCAGCATCTTCAGAAGGAAACTCTTGAGCAAGGACTCCGTGATCATGAGGAGCACCTGGCTGACTGTGATGATCAACGGCAGGCAGCATCTCCTCCTGCACCATCTGGACTGAATGTATGCCCTCCGATTCATACTGCGGACTTGCCACGCTGCCGAAGTCCTCCATGAAGGTGTCGTTCTGGCCGAAGGCGGGCGAGGACAGGTCCTGGCCGTCCTCGTCCACAAGCATCGCGGAAGGGTGAGTCAGAAGCCATATGACCAGCTCGCGTTGAGGTGGAGGGAGATTGTAATTCCGATCCAAGTGAGCAACCACGGCCGCAAGCTCCTCCACCGACAAGGGGGCTCTCATGCCACTGGAGTCTGGCAAGGATGAGCGCGATGCCCGCGCGACCGACTGCAAGAAACGGCTAGCACCTTGAAGAGCGTCGAGTTGAAGAAAACCTCCATCAGCAGTAGAGGGAGCCCCTGCGAAGGGGGCGTCAGGAAGCTCTTGCAGTTGTTCAGCATGCTGCGGGGTATTCGGGGGCTCCGCTGCCGCTGCGGTAGCCGCCGACTGGGTTGCCGCAGGGGCACTTCCACGCAATGCGCCACCTAAGGACCCGTTGTGGTAGATCACCCCGAAGCCATGTCTGGCCATCAGCTCGTCGAAGGCGTCGTCCGAAGAGCTCGACGAGCGAGGGCGAGGGCCATCAGCAATTGGGGCAGGGTCGGCTCCATGAGCGCCCACTGAAAGAGACCTCAATGCCGCCAGAGGACGCCGCCGTCAAGTTGGGCGCATTGCTAGTCGCGTCCAGCCGCGAGCCTCTGGAGGTATTTTGCACTTGATCCACAAGTTCAACATCGGAGAGGGTGGGGCTGAAGTGGTGCCCGTACTCGTCTGCCGATATCAGTATCTCATCGAGGTGCGCAGGCACGGGGCCATCGCCGCCAGGCGACACCGCAGGCACCCCAGCGTCCACTTCCATCATCTGCAAGTCCAGTGCCTTCGGAGTGGGGAGGCCATCATCCCCCATACTTAGTTCATCCTCATCAGGAGTTTGTTCCGCGATCGTATTGTGTGCAGACATGGAAGCAGGGGAGACACTATGGGGCTGAAATTGAAGAAGTGGTAGGAGAGCAGGAACCACCTCAGAGGCACACGCACTCTGCCTCGCAACGAAGTCCGCACGGGCTGCCGAGGACATGCGGGACAGATCAGGATGCCAAGCCATCTGCCGAAGGAGACGTAGTCCGCGACGGCGAACCAGAAGTAAACGAAGGTCATCACGTGCCTCCCATACCT